AAACTGTGGCCAGGGTGGTACAAGAGTGTTGTTTCAACACAATGATCCCTCTGTAACTAGACTTCTTGCTTTTAACAAAGATGAGCTCAAACCCCTGCTATTTCACACTTTGCTCCCTCTGGCTTCCAGAGATCCACATTATGTTTATTTCAACTGTCATTGCCATTTTCAAGATGTTTCATTTCTCCTGCTGCTTTGGTGTCAACAACGAAAGCACAAGTTGAAAGGCAAGAAATGGTCCACTGTTTGCAACACACACATATACGCACACTTTTAATACTGGATTTACTGCACAGTTAATATCTTTATTAATTTCTTCACTGAGCTGTATAAAATACAAGTGCTGTTAACTATGGCCTCCATTTAGAATTTTTACAAGTTTGCGCATGTGTTAAATCAATTAACACTGCTCTCCCCTTGCACATTTAATCTCTAACACCTTGGAACATAAAACTGAGATTACACAATTATGCAAGTATCAAATGGAAGAACCAAGAACACCACTGCTGAAAAGCCTTTGTAGCTCTGGGTGGGGGGAAAAAAAGGTGTTATCACTATGTCTACAATTGGCTTATTTGTTCATAATACCTTCCGCATGAAAATGCTTTATAGCGGGTACAAACTGATATGAGCTTTAAAGATCTTTCTCATTAAACATGATAGTGCAGAACCCTGTAACTCTTAAATTGTTTGAGCTGCATGAAGAAGATATATTTTAATGGCTTCTTATCACACATCAAACTAAGCCATAATGTGGTCTGATTTAGGCTGAATGTGTTGTGCAAACCTAGGTACTTAAGGTCTATTAACTAAAGCAAACCATACCTTAATGCAGGGGTCTTCAAACTTGGCCCTTTTACGACTTGTGGACTTCAACTCCCAGAATTCCTCAGCCAGCATGCCTGGGCTGAGGAATTCTGGGAGTTGAAGTCCACAAGTTATAAAAGGGCCAAGTTTGAAGACCGCTGCCTTAATGTGTTATATCAACCAAGTCTCTTGGCTATGGGAAAAACACACTTTCGTGCGTTAACTAGACAAATTGCAGTTTCAAGATGAGACAAGAACTTTTATCAGCTACTGATGATTAAGCAGGAAATCATTTTGATATATGATACACAGTACATGTTACCAAAGCCTGTTGTTGACACCTCTGTTAAAACAAGATCACAGGTAACAACACAAAATCTATGCTAAAAGTCTGGGAGACCTACTGTCAGTTCATCCATACAAGAAGTATCAGATGAGAAGTAGAAGTGTAAAAAGCTGGCTGGTGAATTCTGGGAGTTGAAGTCCATAAGTCTCAAAGTTGCCAAGGTTGGACACTCCATTATACAGTACAACTAATTGAAGGAAACTAGCACACGAAACAACCTCATTAATCACTTAATTCAGTAGGTAAATCTAACATACATTTATTGCTTTGTTATGCTCCAAATCATTTAAAAGCTACGTTCCACAATTTTATTACAATAGAGTGAACGCTAACCCATTATTTAACAAAGTTTACTTTATTTCCAATCTCTATTGATTCGGTTCAATTAAAACTCTCCAGCAAGCTTTCAGCTCATAATTTAACTGATCATTATGTAACACAAATGTCAACACCAGACTTGCCAGAAAAGGAAATTATGTGAGTGGACCCACTTTCAGCCAAAAATAGTTATTTAGTAGAATTATGACATGGCATGATCTGCCATCTTTAAAGGGAGCCAGTTTAAGTTACAGCTATATTCACATGTGTATAACTGACAAATAAAACTATCTTAGCTGCTATGTCACTTCCCTGATCAGCATCATATTCAGATGTAGCCTAGTATGATTAAACCCTATGATCCCTCATTTCATCCTCTGAAGTTGCAGTTACAAATTTCTGCTTTGGCTACACACAAACACGGGCATCTGTTGCATTCACAAATCATGCTAAGCTAAAGATTTAACCGATGGTAAATGAATAAACCATAGTTCTCACACATGTGAAGGCATTATGACCGGGCTACTCTACTGTTTTAAATAAACAAGTACATTATCAGTTAGTTTAATATATCAAACTAATGTTTGATATATTATGCGATTACAAAAAAAAGTGGAACATACTAAAAGAAAGTGGTATTTTGAAACCCACTTAAACAACATCTAATAATTAAACACCTCAGGAACATTATGGTTTTCTGCTGTATGTGGAATTCTATCCTTTCCCTTGAATAGTTTATACAGACCAGTGAAAAATCTAAGGTCAATGAAGTTCCATTATCTGGATCGTAGCCTGATCCACAATGCAGTGAAATAGTTTACTGGATGGGTTCTGGATGGGTAAATGCGTTGTTCGTAAAATAAGGAAAAAATTGCAGGATGAACATTGCAGTTTTTAGAAACTGAAAACAAAATATATAAATTATACAAATAAAAAGTATAAGCTGCCTTGAAACTCTCCGGTAATCTCCAAATAATAGAACTTTGTCAAATTTGACATATCATTATGAAACCGCTTCCTACAACAATATAAAATCCCATTTTGATGCTATTAAAATGATGCTAATCGACAATGCACAAGCAGCAGAGTTTCTTTCTGACCAAATTAAAAAAAACACCGTCACGTAATTTGCGGAAGGGATGAGAATACAACAAGGAAAAAAATGATATACTTCTAAAACACTCTAAGACCTCCTTAACCTTTGTTAAATTAAGTGCAACCTGCCTCAGTAGTATTATGCATCAGCTGTTCAGAAGACTCATTTCCACACCCTGCAAAGGTACATTTGTATTCAGAGAGATATCTCTGCCCTGGGATCCTGCATAACGTAACACTAACAGTGACAAAGATTTTTGTTGAGAAAGACGAAATATTGTAATTCACCTTTGCAACGGGCAACTCAAGAAGGTCATTTCGGCCCAAGAATCCCACTCCACTAAATGCACAGGCCATGTATCTTTGTCAGGTATAAATCGGGTGTGCAATATCCCTCTTTGCTCACACACACTTCCATGCACTGAAACACATGTTTCGACCGCACTGGGAGGTGCTTAGAGTCGTAAGATCAGAAGACTAGGACCCGAATGTGCCCTTCTGTAGAATAAGTGGACCTGTTCCTGTCTAATTTCCAAATACACATATACACACTGGTTATCCCCCTCCCATGAAAAGCCTCTCGGTTGAATTCGAAGAATTACTGGGGAGGAGGAAAAAAGACAAACGTCTCTCGGCTTCGTTGATGAGTATCACACTGGGCCCTTTATGGATGTATTATGATAATGTCCTTACGTTTGACACATTTCCAGTTTCGTGTAGAAACGTGTTCGTTGTAATTCCCCCCACCCCCTACCCCCTCCACCACACCGTAAGGTAGATGACAGGTAAAGTGTGTCTTTCTTCCCAGACCATGTGCTTCTGGACCAGGGTAGCCAGACACCCTTAGATTATCCTTTATCAAGTGCTTCGCCATAGTGCCACCCTATTCAACTCAATCCACACTGCAGCCTGGGTATGGTGGGGAGAGGATACTTTTTCCCAATAACCCCCCCCCCCCAAGCAATAACTCTATACCACAAATTTGGCACAAATCCCTCCTGATCCATAACCAATTCCGGTCAAACTTTTTTGCTGAATTGACAGGCCTCTCTTATCACTTCCCCAAAGCATCCAAACCGTGGCTGCTTTGAACTGGATCCCGTGCGTGCAAAAGGGGCATCTCAACCCACCCACCCCCAGAAAATGTCCAATCTGGGCTACCGTAGGGGATGAGCATCCAAGGCCCCATTGTGGCAACTTCTTCAGTCCATCCTTGAGACTCAACCTTTTCCAATCTTGAAGTCACAAAACAAGCCAGAAAAACCTCCACGGAAGGCCAAGGGGTCACCCCCAGACTCAAGAGCACACCGCTGCCACCCCTGGCCCTGAACAACTGCAGATCCCGGACCATCCCCATCTGTCTCCCACATTGCAAAAGCCCCCCTTTTTTGCTGCCTTCTCCAAAGACGCTGAGCACCCACCTTTCTGGGACAAGGTGCAATAACCTTGCTGCCCTATCTCCTCCCCATTACAGTACTACCTCCCCCCCCCTCATTGCAGACTAAAATGCAATCCTTCCCATAGATCTGTTTGGGGAGGGTGGTTGCAAAGGCTTCCAACAGATCCTCCTCCCCATCCCAAGTCCTGATTCAATAGCATCCCCCTCCTCCCTGTCCCCCACACCTGCCCCCCAGCCCTGCCTCCAAAGAGACCCCCTCTCCTCCCTTTCCCCCCACCCCAAGTCCTGCCCCCAAAGGTCCCCCTCTGCTCCCTTCCC